GAAGCAAGATTCAATCATTTAAAAAACAAATGTTCCAAAAGATATGGGCTGAGATTTTTTAAGCTGAATAAGAGACTCGGCCACATAAGTCCCTAAGAAATTGATTAATTACGTGGTTGACAATCTCAGTTCTTATGCCAAGTTAATTCCTGGTATAACTTCATTGTCTTCAATGGAGCTACACTGTGAATGTATTTGACAGATAGTCATGCTTCTTCTCCAAGAATAACTTCTAAGGCAGAAGGTTAGCACGAGTGAATGAAAGTCCCAGGCCAAATTCTGCCCTAATTTAAACCCTGTGCAAAACAGCTGACTTGGAAGTGAGGGTACAAGTAAAGGCAGAGAGAGACATGAGTCTATTCTTCCTTTACTGGGACATTACATCAATTCCCTTAGGTAATGGTCATGTCTGCAAAAAGCACAGCGGGAATCCAAATTACAGTCTGTTGGAGATTCTTTCCTTCTAAGTGTGCAAGCTCATATGCTTCACAAGCCGTTAATGTTCAGGGAAGGGCCTGGAGTAGTCTCAGTGCAGGACCCTGAAATTCAGTTCAGAAATTCAGTTTTGAAATTCTGTTCTTCATTCAGCTTCTGCATGAAGCTGAATCTTGCCTGCCCCAAAGAGCATTTCCTTTCTTCATAGCTGAGCACTGGAAACGATCATTTTAATATTAACATTGGAATTAGTCATCTAATTTAATTAGAAAAAAATGTATTTCAGTCATTCTCAACCTCAATATTAATTTGAGTCAAAGCCCTGCAGTTGTGGGTTTTTTGGGGGGATTTTTTTTTTTTAACATGTTGGGTTATTTTTGGCTGATTATCAATATTAGAGTTAAGCAGGTCTAAACTAAGCTAATGATGGGTCACAGAACAGAGTGCACACACCCATGCTAAGATAAGGAGGAAGTTGCTCCCACCTCAGTTCTTTACACGCAGCATTGTTAAGCGCATTAGTAAAGTTACCTTGCTTGAAATGTCATGTATGCCAAGTACGCAGAAATCTGAGTACTATCGTTCTAAGTACAGTGATTTGCTAATGTTCTCATTTCTGATTCTTCTGCTGGCAGAAGTTTTACTTTACTAAAACAAGAGTGATGTAATCGGCAGTAAGTGAAGTCAGCATAAACAAAATGGCTGCACAGTAATTCCCCTGTTCTAGCAGGACCATTTCTAGGGCAGGCAGCGTGAGCCAGCAAGCTGGTCTCCCCCACTGGCAGCCTGAGCACTTGCATTCTGAGCACTTGCATTCTCTCCTCATCTCTCCTCTCACTGACTCCTTTCAGTCAAATCAGATCACAAGGTCACATATATTGTTCTAGAACAAAACTTGGTATCAGGGGCCGGGGTGCCAAGTACCCTTAATGACTCAAAAGCGAAGATGCTTCCTGTCCAAAACAGTTTGCAATCATTTACAAACAAGACAGCGGATCAAGAGCATCTCATATCCCCTATGCATAAAACGCAGCTACTAGTCTTCAGCCTTGTAAAAACGTGCGGAAGTGAGAAGCACCATAAGACGGACTGCGTGAAGGACAGCAGGAGTACTTTGAGCTAGGGCTGTTTAAACTCTTTTGATGCTGGCTTCTGCTAGTGAAGGAGCCAGCCAGCCCAGACGGGAGGACAGGCTGAGCAGAGCTAGCCCCGCCAGCACAGCGGCTCTATACGCTCCTGCACTCATACTGGCTCAGGCCACGGGGCTCTGAAAGAGATGCTCATCCACCCCGCCTTGTGCCAGGGTGGCACTATACTTCCTTCCACCCGGCACAAGGCAGCCTTATGCAAGTACTTTGTTATCAGCCCTGCCTAGCAAGTGACTCCCTGGGCTTCCCACTGAGACCTGCCAGCAACTGAAACTAATTGCCATCTGGCCCCACGGGTGGCAAGCTTCTTCCCCACCTCCCTTTCTTTCATTCAGCTCCCTCCCAAGTATTTGATTATTTATGACTTCTGCATAGAGGCCTTGCCTGCTGGAGGCAAATGCAGCCTACTTTCTCGCTCCTCACCAGAGCTGACATCTGTGATCTCGTATTCTTCACCTCTGTTTCACTCATCCAAGCCTGTCTCTTTTCTTCTAGCGTATGAACCTGGGAGAACAGAGGTACAGTTGCACCTCAGCAGTCGCGGTCCAGTTCTACCTTTCCTTTTTACTGCCTGTCACCACCTCACCTCCTTCATCTGGGCTACCACTGCAATCAGCTCTTCTCCCTCTTTTTCTCATGAGCTGCTGTAGTCCACCGCCTCTCTCTCAGACATCAGTGCTTAACTGATTTTCATCCAGTCCCCTTTATAGGGCACTTGAGCCCTCCTCTCTAGCAATGTCAATCTACTGTACAAGGTTATCATATTAGTGGAACATGTTTAAATATGAAAAAAGTTGGATAGGACCCCGACTCTCTCCCGTCTTTCCTTTCTCCATTAGCTACTCCAGCTCCAGACACCTGCTCCAGCACAAGGCACTGCAGCACAGGCAGCATGTCACTGCTTCTCCTTTGGAGTATAGCTGTGAAATAAGTTAGATAAGTTAGAAGTCTTAAGCTTCACTTTTAATGTGATTATGAGAAGACAGGTAAGGAAAGTTTCTGCTTGGCTACAATTTAAACGTAGGCCTTCCACTTATTCTAAACACCAACAAGTGTTTGCCTTGGGAAATGCTGCCCAGCTCAGCTGAATAACCAGAGGGAGAGCAGTTCTTAGCCTGCCTTTTTGCCATTGTGCAGTACTGCACAGACCCTGCCCGCCTGCCTCAATGGTTACACGGCAAGCAAAATGCTTGCTGTCTGTGAGTTGGCACCCCAGGAGCCCTCCCTCATCATAATACAGCAGGGTGCAAGCACACCGCAATAAAGGCCATCCCACGGGGTTTTCTTTTCCTCTTTAACAGCATTGCTATGTATGAGTTGGTGGTGCTCATTAGAAATAATAAAATAGCGATAGCCGAGAAAGAAGAAAGACCATGATCACACCCACATATATTCTCTATTCTGAAATTAAAATGAACAAATTTCCGTCTTTAAAGTCCACTTGAGAGCCCACTCTGCTTCCATGAAGCTACCAGCTTCTCTGTACCAGCTAACTTTTCTGGGAATACTTAACCATCCAGAGCATCTGTGAAAACCACAGCGTGTCCAGGATGGATGAGTTGGAATAGATCTAGTGCTATTTGTTCTGCACCCTGAAGCAAGCAAGCTTATCAACCTAATAGGTCACAGTACTCCTGGGAGCATCTTTCAAACCTTTTTCTTTAAAAGGAATTTGCTAAGGAGCCTTCTGAAAGCATGTCAGAAAAACTTTTACCCTTCAAAACTTCCCCAGTCAAAACAGGGGAGGAGGAAAAAAAAAAAAAAGCCCACACAAAAAGCATGCTGTGTGTTTTACTAGCAATTAGAGAACCAATTACTAGCAATTAGAGAACAGTTATGACCAAACTTTTGAAATGTCAAAATGCTTAAACTGTTCCAGCTGAGGTAGAGCATGGAAGAAAATCCCTGGTACAGACATCATTACAGATTGAAAATTAGCTACAGAAATATCTTCTACCAGCTTAATGGCACCCACATTAGGGCTATGACTTGAAAGGTTACTTTGGCTGAAATTTGCCACATTCACCTGTAAAATAACCCTGATTTGAAACTGCCTCTTGTGTACTGGCCTCAGTTCCTTGATATCAGCTTCTAACTACCCCCTCCAAGCATAAGGCATAGTTAAACCTTCCTGATAACTCATTCTTCTGTAAATCTGTAATCAGTTAGGTTTGTTCTGTTGAGTTTTGAGCCTTGTCCTACTCTCGGGCACAGAAATATAGGGGGTGTGGCATGTTCCTATTGCTTTCATTTCAAGAAGAATCAGACCTAGGTTTATATGCCACCTCCTACTGTTCTTTTTTCAGCTGCAGATGGCCAGAACACAAACCCAGAGGGTACCACCTGGAAAACTTTTCCCATAGCTGAAATCACTGCATTTGCAGCTAATACAGTGCTGTTTCTGTCCCCATCTTGGAAGCACGGAAAGGATTTTGAATACTTGGCAGTAATAAATGGTTCATTTACACCACGAGAAATTGAAGGTGCTTCTTGATTTTAAGTTAGATGGCTAGAACATAACATCCTGACAAAACCTTTGGAGTGCAAACTTGAGGGGTGGAAGGACAAGCAAAGTTGTATACAAGAATATAAGTAGCAAGGTTTTACTCCATAAATTGAAATTGAGAAGTATTTATCCAGTGCTCTAAAACCCAAAGCTTTACTTACACTTCTCCAAATTCATTAATTGTATTTGTTGACCATAAGTTTAAGATGTTAATAGCTGACTGCTCCCAGTGACAGGTAGGCAAAATATGGAAGATAAATAGCTGCAAGGAAAGTGTGCTGAAATACAGATGCAAACTCTTTAGCTAATTATATACTTGCTCTTACAAGATTTAAAACCTGAAGGGAAAGATTTTGAGGAATTAGATGATTTTGAATGCTTCTGGTTTTGACATTTCAAAGCATCCTGGTTCAAAACCTGCCACTCCTTTTCCCATTTGGATGCTTTAGACCTTGCATAGCCAAAGAATTAACGTTCTCTAACAGGTCATCTGCACATAGCACTGCAAATGAGGGGTTGTTTCGTCTTTTTAACGGTAGAAACTACTGTGACACAGAAAGGGGAAAAAAACAAGAGAAAAAGAAAGAAAAATTAGAGTCTGCCATTGAAAAACTTCTGATATCATTTGTTCTGCATTGTTACATGAGTAAATGGTTAATGCTGTAAGTTTTGGGGGCTTCCCCCCCCCCTTTTTTTTTTTTTTTTTAAAAATCCTGTTACCTCGCATTATGATAGTTCAAAATGTTTCAAACAGTGAAAAGACCTTGACTGTTCCCAGCAGCAGCGTTGAATTCTACTCACAGAAGAGATACAACCTGAGCATTAACACAGGAACGCTTGCTGGCAAAACTTTAAAAATTGGACAAGTTGATGGCTTGTGCATCTCATCTGTAATCTTTTTGTTCCTCCAGCTCTTGTTGTACGCTTCCTGACCAAACGGTTCATCTGGGAGTATGACCCGACACTAGGTAAGTTAAGAGTTATCTTATATACAGTGTACCACATGTGTATAGTAGCATGGGTGACGTAATGGAAAAATCATTGAGTTAAAATTCCAAGCTTCAGTCAACCTTTAAGTTTGCTCTAAAAAACCTGATGGTGATTTAAAGCCAGGACAAATTATTAGCTAAGATGGCTGAATAGAGAAGCACTTATGCACTCAAATGAAAGCTGAATTAATATATGAGGCAAAATTCTACCCACACAGAAGTCAGTGGGAATTTTGCCACTGAAAGCAACTGCATTAGTATTTCACTCTGAAAATTAAAATACTTAGTGTATGATCAGTTTTCTGCCTGTGGATAACGCAACCAGCAACTGCTAGAGAATAAGATATCCGGTACACAGATCTCAAAAAGGCAAGGAAAAAGAATAATTTTTACAGTTATTTACTCTCTAACTACCTTTAGGTAAGTTTTTTAGTCCTCAGCTTTCAAGTGCGCGTCTCGGTTTTAAGGTGGCCAGACAGGGACACCAATCAGCAAAAGCCCATGAGCACTTTCTCCTCCATAGCACCCCCTCAGCTGTGTTGTGTTTGGCACTTTTGAAAAGCTGGCACAGTTGTCTCAAATACAGATTGCAAACAGTTGCTCTGAATTACAGACCTCTTTTGAAAGTTTGGGCCAATAGTATTCTTAGCATTTCCTAAGTTAACATATATTTGAATGCTCAGGGTCCATAGAAGATCCAGGCCAAGAAGTCTGAAACAGGGCAGCCAAATCTTAGAAGCCACCTTCAAAACCTCAGAACTAAGTAATTCACACATGCAGTAAGGGGCCAGGAAGTTTCCTTTTCTCCTACAATCTATTGCCAACTCATTCTTAAACTTCCTTATGAGAGTCAAATGAAGATTTTTCTAGTTAAATACCTTTTTCTTTGTTGGGTTTGTTTCTGTAAGAGGTCACACTAAAGATATACTAGAAACAATATAAGCCTGCACAGCAAACAAGTTTAATACACTTCATTGCCAAACTCAAGCAGCTCTTTCAACAAAGCAAAGTATCTAGTATCATACTCAGTATTTTTTCCTGAATGATTGACAGATATCAGAAAGCTCCTCTCAGAACAACAATTCTCAGAACTAACCTTGAACTCAAATATATCTTTTATTTGCTAATATAGTCATCAGTGAACTATACCTGTCACCTGTCCTATACTACATAGTGGGATAATGTGAAGTTTACCTAATAAAATATTTCACATTTCTGTCACTGATGTATTGTCAAGCTCTGAAAATGATACAAGTATCTAAAGTTTTTTGTATCAATATAGTCTAAATTCCTCAATGCCTTACAGGGACACTGCATGCAAAAATATCCTTGTTGCCTCATTTAAACACACAAACGAGGACATTAACATGCTGAAAGATGTATTGGTTTTTGCCCCATTAGCAGAAGTCTGTCCTTTTCTGTATACAAGACTTGACATGCGTTGCAGTTTTACAAATGAATATAACTCTGAATTAACCACGACCCTCAGGAAACTAATTGTCTTCTATTTGCAACATGGAACGCTTTTGTGCGGGCAACACTCCTATATCAATAGAATACAAAAATTTAGATTTCTTCCAACTTACATTCTCTAACCTGGATGAGAGGAATAACAGCTTGAATTGTTTAACATAGCTAAGTTCTTTAAGCTGCTCAGAAGATAAGGTTTAAGAAACAAAAAATAATGAACTATTGTCAATAACCTTTTTCTTAATGGCAGCAATCTCTGGTGGAAGCATTTAGAGGCAGAACTGACCAAACACTCACAGCAGTCTTTTTAAAGTACTGTTTTTCAAACCGTGGATCACAACCGGATTCAAAGGAGGGTCTGAAGTGTTAGAAAAGCCTCATGAAATTCTAACCACTGTTCAGGCTTTCAGAGATCAAACAGAAAGGAATTGTACCTTCAAAAGCTTTGAGAAACAGTACTTTAAAGAAGGCATTTGTCTTTATCATGGTCACGCTGTGGTGACTTACAGTATCTAATTATCTGTACACATTGCATAGCTGAATTTACTGAGAAGTTCTACAAAAATAGATATGTTTCTTCTTAGGAGTAATGGACTGGCATTTGGGTGGAAAGAAAGTTTAAAAGTTCAGGTTGTGTCAGTGAGATCCATTTATCCTGCACTGAGAAGAAGCAAGTTTGTCAAGTAATTTTGAAAGTGTAGGAGTAAAACAGATGCAAAGTAGCTAGCTACTAAGCAACAGGATTTTTTTTTTGCCAGAATCACTGGGACTGTGACAAAAATGTCATGTTTATAGTTTATTTCTTATATCAAATTCTCAACCACCTACCAGCCCTCCAATGCCAGGAATCCCCAGACAATTCCTATTTTTAGGAAACCTTTCATCAAGCTTTGAAAAGCTTAAAGATGGAAATTCAGCAGTGTCCTAAGCTAAGCATGAGAGTAAAAATTCTTGTCCTCTTGTAATCCAAGTATGGCACACTGTAACTGGAGAGAAAACATATATATGTATGTATAAATATAGCTATTCTTTACTATTTTAACTTGCCAGAGAAAAATTAAGGACCATATTTGTAGTGTCTCCAGGACCAAAATTATAAATTACAAAATAAGATTCTCTGGAGGGATGAGCATGAATGAGGAATATTACCAAATTTTGCAGGCCACTGTATGACAGCACTGGTCTTCACAAAAATGTGCACCACTGTGCTTTTTTACCATTCTCAGCCAAGGGGTAACAGCTGCAGCAGAAGTCATTTTCCAAGAGTGCTTAACCATCAGACTTGACTTCTCTATTGATTCTGCTTAATTGGCAAGTCATTGTCAGCCTCACGCCATGGGTTTTTTTTTTTCCTTACTTTTTTTTGTTTGTTTTTTTAAATGGTGCCTAATCACTCCAGCTAACTGATTACCTGTCACTGTCAAGATAAACGCATTTTCAGTTTCAATTTTTATAATAAATCACACAACTATCCCATTTACACATTGCAATTAGAAGGTCTGAAGAAAGAGCTCTGTGTAGAGATAGATAGGAACTGCACTTTTAAAAAGATATAGATGTTTTCTAAAATATTAGGTATATGAATTCAACTTAGTCTTCTTTAACTAGCTAAATATATACAGAAAAACAGAATTGGGTCACCACATGGATTTTACCAGAACTCTGTGATTTTTTTGTGTGTGTTTTTAAATAGAATACAGCTCACAAACTAATAGACAGTACGTTGTGGTGTTAGAAGGTCTAAAGACTCTTGGCCTGGTTAGGGCACCTTTTAACCCACAGTCTAAAAAACGCTTCACAAACACCAGCAACATGTCTTTAGTGGATTTAAAACAGAACTGGAAATATTTATACTGTATTTTAGTTTGGCTCTATTGACAGATTTATTTAAAAAAAAAAAAGAAAGTAGGAAGACAAACATTCCCATGTACCATTTCAGTATTGCTTGCCAGGAACCGGGTGAGGGCAGGCTGACAGTTTGCCTGCCACCGAGGCGGTTGGGTTCATGGACCATTTGCAGCCTGCAGCTGGAGGCTGTCCTCTTGCAGCCAGACCCCCTTGGCCTGTCACCACAAAAACAGATGTATAAATGCCCAGTACCTGCCAGCCAGCATCTTCCCAGGGATGGACATACTCCACAGGGATGAAAAAGCAAACCTTAGCAGAAAACTGAGGTCCTGTTGTCATCATGTGGAGGGGCAGAGATCTTAATTTGGCCACATTTCAGTGTGAGGGCCCATGAGCAGCTCTGCACACGCACAGCCTCTGCAGGTAAAGTCTCGGCCTGAACGCAGAACTCCCATGACCTTCAGTTGTCCAAGACTTCACACCACAATTTTAAAGCCTGCTATGAATAGCTACTACTCTCAGTGCTGATAAAAATGAATAATAGTCTGTATCTCAGCAATTTGCCCCGTTAGCTAGTAGCAGCACCTAGAACCCAGCATTTAGGATGCCATCAGCTAAACTCAAAGTTGGAGACATACTGCAATCAAACAAATGAGACAGATATTAAAATTGGACATGATGAATCAATTATCAAGGGAACTGGGCAGTTTATTTTTTCCTGGGGAAAAAGGAAGAGGAAGCCCAAAGAGTCATCACATCATTAGAGAGACAGCACTGATGGCCTGCAAAATATTTTTACAGGCAAGAGCAAATTATCTGCCTCCATAAGCCATGACAAACAGGGAGAATCTTCTGGATCAGGTAATGAAAGAAGAAAACCGATTATCGCTGTGGCTAAGTGGGTGCTTCTTAAAATGAGTTTCATAGCATTCTCACTGAGAACAGATTCATTGTTGTAATATAATTCAGGGTAATTCACTTAACTAAAAACAGAGCTGGGATACCCAAGACTTAAAATAAATCAATCAATCAGAACAGGCTGTGGGTTGTTCTCTGGGGAAGAACAGAGGCACCACACTAAGCTGGCCTGGGAGCTTCACTCAGCCAGGTCATTATGAACTAGGCCATGTCATTTGTTCTGTATTAGCACTTTTATGTGCTGATGGGAGAGTCAGGTGCTTTTCTGAGGTATGGGCTCTTATAACATCCATTTTTACTCTACAGGGAAGGGAAAAAAAATAGCAAGGACATGCAGAAGACAAGATTCCTCAGTTCTTTTCTCGATTCTATCACGAATTTTTTTTTGCTGAGCTCTGGGCAAGCTGCAGTCTCTCTGCCTCTTGCTTCTCATCTATAAAGTCCTTTAAGTAACTAACGGGTTCATAAAGCTAAGATTCACTTATCAAGAGTTCACAGAAACACCAAGCATTTGTCCAAAGACTGATCTTTTAAACAAAAAAGTCTACTTATAAAATATTAACAACTAAGGAGCTAATAGTCTAGTTGACCTTTCTAAAGGTTAGTCGGCTTTCTCATACTATTCCTAGATGTCTTTTTCTAGCTGTTCACATACGTTATGCAACTTTGCTCATCTTCTGAAAGGAAAGACTGTCTCTGAACAGATAATCAGCAGAACAGCGTATGCTGGAACAGTCCACCTA